AAATGGCAATACAACTACATTCTTGTACAACTCTGGAAGCTATTATTCAACGTTTGATCAACACAGGTGTTGTATAAGAGCTCCCAATGGTTTGTTTTGATGCGTTTATTCCACATCCTATATGGCTTCTGTCAAACAGTTTAACCGAACGTAAACAATCATTTAAGAGTGCTCCAAGCAGTTTTTGAAGCTTTTAACCAAATGACAATACAACTACATTCTTGTACAACTCTGGAAGCTATTATTCAACGTTTGATCAACTCAGTTGTTGTATAAGAGCTCCCAATGGTTTGTTTTGATACGTTTATTCCACGTTCTGTATAGCTCTTGTGAATCAGTTTAACTAAGGTGCTATAAAAGTTATCGTAGGTCTTATAAAGCAAATAGGTAAACCGAACGTAAACAATCATTTAAGAGTGCTCCAAGCAGCTTTTGAAGCGTTTAACCAAAAAGGCAATACAACTACATTCTTGTTCATTTCTGGAAGCTATTATTCAACGTTTGATCAACTCAGGTGTTGTATAAGAGCTCCCAATGGTTTGTTGTGATGCGTTTATTCCACGTTCTGTATAGCTTTTGTGAAGCAGTTTAACTAAGGTGCTATAAAAGTTATCGTAGGTCTTATAAAGCATATAGTTAAACCAAACGTAAACAATCATTTAAGAGTGCTCCAATAGCTTTTAAAACTTTTAATCAAATAGCAATACAACTACATTCTTGTTCAACTCTGGAAGCTATTATTCAACGTTTGATCAACTCAGGTGTTTTATAAGAGCTCTCAATTGTTTGTTGGGATCCCCTGTATTGTGACGAATGTATTGTACGTCCCCAATCTGCGGTTCAATCTTTTTTCTGTGTTGAACGTGGAGAAGAAAGGAATGCGAGTTGTGTTCGATAATGGACGTGTGAGTATTCACAATGGTTCGAAAGTTGTTGCTACTGGAGTGCGTCGCGGAAAACTCTACGAACTGGATTTGATAAGAGTTAAAGACAGTAAAAGTGCATCAGTGTTGACATGTGGTCGTATCACGAAGGAGCTTGAATTGTGGCACCGCCGGTTCGGCCACTTGAACTTGAAGCAGCTCGAACAGTTTGTTAGTAGAGACATGGTTGACGGCATGCGGTCGATGACAAAAAGTTCGGACAAAAGTGTAGTGATTTGCGAGCCATGCATTGTCGGTAAGCAAACGCGAAAGCCATTTCCCCCGCGCGTAGGCAAACGATCATCGCGAGTACTCGAGGTCGTCCACTCGGACGTGTGTGGACCGGTGACGCCAATCGGGCGAAACGGTGAGCGCTTCTTCGTCACATTCATTGACGATTGGAGCCACTTTCTCATGGTTTTTCCTATGAAGAGGAAGGATGAAGTGTACGAGTTGTTTGTGCACTATGAGGCGTTGGTCACGACTAAATTCGGTACGCGTATCTCTCGTTTCGTGTGTGACAACGGGGGGGAATACAAAAACAAGGCATTCGAATCGTTTTGCCGGAAGAAGGGGATTGAGATTCAGTGGACGGTGCCGTACACCCCGGAGCTTAAGAGGCAACTAACAGTCAGCCTCAGAAGGTGTCATCAATGATGATCATCAAAAAGTGGGAACGAGTTGATGAAAATAACCACCCACAACTTCTGAAGCTTTTTCCAGCCTAAACACACGAAATACACCAACAACAAGTATTTCGAAGTTTGCTCTGATTCATTATCTTAATGCACTCACCTTTTATTTAAGCAACATCTCATTTTGTTGGGTAGATATCTGCTTTTCAATAACATCGAATTTATTTTTTGGCCTAGCACTACGACACACAAAAAGTCATCACAATAAAAAAAAATCCCAGAGCCAAATTGAACACCGCTTATTCTTCTCACTTCCAGAAGGGATACAGCATTTAAATTGTCTTCACTACATCTGCACATATATCTACTTTCACAATCTAATAAGTTAAACCCGATTTATAATGAAAATTAGTTGAAAAACTGTATTTTAATTCAGGATTTACCGGTAAACAACGAAAGATCACAACAAGACTGACACATGCGCACATTATGAATGTATGCGTTAAGCTACGCATCTCATGTTTTATCCTAGCAGCAATCATTGGCCAATGTTGCCAAAACAGTTTCATGAAACTATTACATAAGATTCAGTAAAATAAATTCTATGATTGATAGAAGCATCTTTGTGCAGAGCAACTCAATTATTTTCTATTCAGGAATATTTTATTTATTGAAAAGATAAAATCATCACCCTAGATGACACTTTTCTATCGAAATTTTGTTTTAATAAAATTACATGTTTTCTCTTTTGGGTAAACCGGCAACACGACTAACTAAAATATCATATGTTCGACCATATGATTATGCTGATGTTTACAAACAAACAACACAGTGCAGCTGTGCGTGACTTCCGTATAATATACCTAGTCAATATTCGAACGATGCCGCGGGAATCGAAAGAACAAATAGCTGCACATAAACGAGAAGCACTTAAAAAAATCATTTGAGCTGGTGATACAGTGGAAAATGATAGTAAGACAAGGAGTTTCCCGTGCGTGTCTTACCCAAAGACAGACCAAGTTAATATCGCTCCAATCAGTCAGTTGATAAATGATAAATTTCAGTACGGCCTCAGTGGCCGCAAAATGTTTATTGACAAATGTCATAATTTTTTTTGTTGCATTCCTGATGGTCATTTATCAACATATAATACACTTGCGTCCTTATTTTCACTGATATCAACATTTAACAAAATATATTTTCAGACGTTTCCGCAGACGGAAAAACTATTTTAATAATCAAAAAGCAATAAAGGGCTCTGTTCGTGACAGTTCGTTTAAGATGGGATGTAAGAGTTCTGGCGAGAGTGTCACATTGGATAAAAAAAACTCTACTTCCAGGTGAGAGTTGAAGATAAAGTAATGGATTTCTTCGAAATTATGTTCCTTAAAAAATAATAGAAAATGAGGTTGTAATTTAAAGTTAGTGCATTGGCAAACAGAACATCTAAAAATAAAAATGTACATAAATCATATAGATTGAATATCCAGATTCAGTGACATTTTTTTCATTGGGGTCGTTTCACCATTTGATCGTCAGATCACAAGTCGTTTTTGGTACTTGGGTATTTTATTGTATTCTTACTATTACCATAAATAAATTGGCTGAATGGAGTGCATCATTCGAGTACTTTTGGGACGAACTCCTACCTGAGATTTTAAGAAAATATACTAAGCAGCATGATTTCAATACTACCTATCTATCAAATCTCATAAAATACGTAAGATGTAGCTGTATTAGTTTTTCATGATTTGTGATATTCTCGATAACACCAATACCACCAAAATGGAAAACAAATACAAGCAAGTGATTGATTGATTGACATTTGAGCCTTAACGGGACGAGTGAACGTATGAATCGCACTGTTATCGAAAGGGCTCGTGCGATGCTCGAGGGTGCAAAACTCGACAAATCGTTTTGGGTTCAGGCAATCCGCACCGCTGCATATGTCATAAACAGATCGCCGACGTGTGCAATCGATTCGAACAAGACACCTTCTGAATTCTGGGAAGGTAAACGGCCGGATGTTTCCAGACTTCGGAGCTTCGGATGTGCAGTCTACGTACATGTCCCTCAGGAGCGCCGCAGGAAACTTGATCCAAAGGCGTGGAAGGGAATTTTTGTTGGATACGCGGCGAAAGGATATTTGGTGTGGAATCCCAAAGAAAATTCGGTCGTGGTCGCTCGTGACGTGGACTTTCTGGAGCAGCAGACGTTCGAAGAAGAGAACGCGAAGAAAGAAGGTGGTGTTTCAGTGATTCGTGTCGGTGGACTTGAAAATGACACAGAAGATGAAAGAAGTGACGATAACCGGGGTGCGTCGGGAGGTTCCGATGCCTACGATTCGGTGAACGAATACATAAGTGACGATGGTGATCAAGACGATGAACAGTTCACGAGTTTCGTTGATGAAGAACAAGCCCCGGCCGATGAAAGTAACGGAAGTGTGCGTCCGGTCAGAAATCGAAGTGCTCCGTCGTGGCACAAAGACTTTGAAGTGGACTACGCTGGGTTCGCGCTGAATACGATGTCGTATGTAGAAGATTTGCCTGAAACAGTGTCAGAGTGTCGGAAAAGAGATGATTGGCCTTCATGGGAGCAGGCATTACAGGAGGAGATGGATTCGTTGGCGAGGAACGAGACATGGACCTTAGTAAAGCTGCCGCAAGGATGAAGTGCCATAATGTGCAAATGGGTCTTCAAACTGAAGGATTCCGAAGATGGCCAAGCACCGAGATACAAGGCGCGCTTGGTCGCTAGGGGTTTTACCCAGAAGATGGGGTTTGATTATTCCGAATCATACGCACCTGTGGCACGGATGGACACACTTCGCACGGTGTTGGCACTGGCAAATCGCAATGGTTAGATCGTTCACCAAATGGACGTGAAAACCGCTTTCCTCAACGGAGCGCTAAACGAGGAAATACATATGCGCCAGCCGGAGGGTTTCGATCATCACGACGGTCTCGTTTGTCGCTTGAATAGGTCACTATACGGCCTAAAACAGGCGGCTAGGTCGTGGAACGAACGGTTACACAGCTTCGTAGTTCGCCTGGGATTCGTGAGAAGCCGCAACGACATGTGCCTGTACTGTCGGGGATCAGGAGATACCCAAGTTATCCTGGTCATCTATGTGGATGACGTTATCATCGTCAGCGTTTCTGCGAAGCTAGTCGATACGATCAAGAAATGTCTCGCCACCGAATTCGAAATGACGGACGTCGGCGTTGTGAAGAATTTCCTAGGAATACGAATCGACCGGCATATGGAGCAGAAACCCCTTCGGATCAGCCAGCGACGCTATTTGGAACATCTTTTGGATCGGTTCCAGATGCAGGACTGCCGGCCGATCGCTACACCGATGGAGAACCGGCTTTAGCTACCAAGAGGCGAGGAGTCACAGTGGACGAGCAAGCCATATCGTGAGTTAGTTGGATGTGTCATGTACGTGTCACTGACGTCCCGCCCGGATCTGGCTGTTGCTGCAAATTATTTTAGCCAGTTTCAGGTTTGCCCCAACGAGATCCACTGGGCCCACTTGCGCCGTGTATTACGTTACATAAAAGGAACGCTGGATTTTGGGCTAGTCTACCGAGGAGACGATGCTGGCCCATTGCTCGAAGCATATTCCGATGCCGACTGGGCGAATGAAATCACCGATCGTCGGTCCGTGTCGGGTGCAGTGTTCAAGGTGTATGGTGCTACCGTGAGCTGGAGTGCGAAAAAGCAAGCTACCGTATCTCTCTCTTCTACGGAGGCCGAGCTAATCGCACTATGCGCGGCCACCTGCCATGGTCAGTGGTTGGTCAGGATTCTGGAAGATCTCGGGTCTAAGCCCGTGGCCCCAATCACTTACCATGAGGACAACCAGTCCACAATGAAGATTGCCGCTAACCCGAAGGATTCTGGGCGGCTGAAGCACTTGGACGTGAAGCATTTTTTCGTCCGAGAACTGTTGGAGAGCAACCAGATACGCATCGAGTATATCCCTACGTTGAAGCAGCAAGCAGACATACTGACGAAGAGTCTGCCAGGCCCTGCTTTCAGGAAGTTCCGTGAGTACCTTGGATTGACCAGTAGCAGAGTTTGAGCGGGCGTGTTAAGGCTGTGTTCCATTTGGCGAATTTTCACTTAAACTTGACAGATGGAAAATTTTCAAATAAACCTGCTATTCCAGCAGACTTATATCTGACAGACAAGGAATCAATTTTGACACACACTTTCTCGAAAATTGGCCGATCAACAACAGAGGGATTTTCGAACATTATAATTTAGTTTCGAAGTGTCAAATTTAAGTGAAAATTCACCAAATGGACCACAGCCTAAGTATGCAAACCCTACGCCTATGCTCAATCCATTGCACAACCTTGTGTGCCCCATTTGTCGACGCTACTGCTGTCGGACTATTTCCGTTTTTCATTTTACCTACCTATTACTGTACGAACAAAGTTCCATGAATAAACACGCGTTTTTTAAATCGTTCTCTCTTAGTACTTCGAGTCTTTTATTTCGATCCGCGAAGGTCTTCCGTTGAATAATATCAATTCCAACTTGATAGGCTTGTTTAGACTGTACCCTGTTCTGCTTAAAGTCGATGGAAACATGTCCCTGTTTGCAGTCCCTGCTCCACTAAAACATAGAGAACAGACGTCCAACTTCAGTCAGAAACTTGTGTAAAGATAAGTGGGAACATCGCCGTTACGTGGCACTAGCATCTTCTGATTTGCTTAATTGCTCTATAAATTTGCCCCTAATGTCCCAATTTGACGGCACTTATAGCGAATTTGTTTACTATCGAGGTTGAAACCAGCTTCAACCCGTGCAAACCCGAGCTTATTGTCAGTGCGAACCTTAACACGAGGCAGTTTACAAAAACAAGCGTTCACACTGACGTTTGACAGGTAACAAGCAGACCCAATCTTGATACCTAAATTCTATATTAGTATCTAGTATAATCTGTGCTGCGCCAGTACCATCATGTTGTCAAAAAGGTTTTATAGGGGATCTTTGGCGTAGGAGGCCCTTTAGTGCAATGTGAATCTTTACACTAGTTTTTGGAGATATTTTGTTCGACGTCAGTTCTCTGTGCTTAAAAGTCCATATGTCTTCCGGCACCTCCACTGTCACGAGTGCCTGTAAAACGCGTCCAAATTCTATTTAACCCCATCAACCGAAGCTCGAAGCATGTTTCAACATACACAGTAGTTTGTCAATAGTCATCAAGGATGCCATCATCCGAAAGATGGGTACGGTTCCAGCTTCTGATGTGTAACTGTTCGTTTGTCCCGGCAAGTTCAGTAGCAAAAGACCCTTCGAGCTGGGTCTCAGGTGAAACTAATGTTCTGCCCGACAACAACTCAGCAGCACGAGACTCCTTGAACTGTGTCTCAGAGTCGGCGCACTACTGGGCAAACTGGAGGGGCTACGCGGATGAAAAGGCACTCAAGCTTTCAATTAAACTGAAACACAACGCGGATCAATTTAAACACTGTATTTCTCCTATTACCGATAGTGTGGATTGTGTGGTGACGATGGCGACTACGACGACTGCAGACCAGCGAGCGCTCGCTGTGGTTCCGGAAACATCCTTAAAAGCCGATCTTGTCGGCAAGATGGCGGTACCACCGCTCGGTGAAATTCCGGTACAATTCCGACAATGGCGGACGAAGCGAGGCTGACCGAACGTCGGCTATAGTGCGATGGCGGGTTGGTTTTACCGGAAAATTTTTGTATGAGAATTTCGTTCGAAACGAAATACAGAATAGGGGTGACTGTGTAGTTTATTAATTTATTTGATAAGGCTCAACCGAATTAACTTTACAGAGCCGATGATTTTTGGTCACTATACAATACATCTTAAAACTATAGTCAAAAGGTACAACACAATAAACACTTTATCTTCCGCTATCCAAAAAGCCTCCTCCATCAGAACTGGAGCCGCTTCCAGTTGTTTCATTGTATGGCAAATTGTTGTACGCCAACGAGGGTCAGAGCGCGTCCATTGCAGCAATGGACGCAAAACGTGGTCAGCACTCACACACTCATCACGAAACGGTTGATTTCCAAAGTCTACGACGCATCGACCGAAAGAACTGCTGATGAAGAACAATGAGGAGGACCACACAATGGTTGCTGCCGAGAAAACAGACGATCGCGTAGCACACATCGAGAGTGGGTGACTGTGTAGTGTGAATTGAAAGAATTACGTTGGCGATAAACAAGGGTTTTTATTAAGGTGATACTCTAAGGAAGCTTTAGTGTGAAACTTTAAAAGCACAAATGTCAGCTTCCACAAAACATACAAATTTGAAATTGCTACTCCTTGTTTGCTGTGCTACTACAAACAGAGAGTAGCAATTTCAAATTTGTATGTTTTGTGGAAGCTGACATTTGTGCCTTTGAAGTTTCACGCTAAGGCTTCCTTAGAATATCACCTTAAACTAATTGGTGGGATTGGGTTACCCTAATAAAAAACTACCAAACATGAACGAAAACCCAAATAATAAAACTATTCCACAAATGGTTTGGATGATACCCCGAACACGTCGTTAAGCAAAATAACCATAACAATTTTATTAGGGTAGTCTACTGCAGTTTATTGTTCTGTTTGATGGTGTGGGTAAAATTAACTTTTTTTCTTCGGTACGTACCACTGCTCCTTGCTGCTTATAACCGAGTTTTCAGACATACGGCGGAAGAAATAAAAAAAAACACTTGTTTCCACGTTCGTAGTCAAAGTACTAATGACCCATATATTCAAACTATTCTTGTACAACACTCAAAACTCTGCTACTCTCTCATTTATGGCAGCCCCTCTTAGGGTTGACTGTCCATCTTACCGAACTATCGAAAAGGCTTTGCCTGTTACACCACTACACTGGTGACACCCGCTGCTGCTGCTGCTACTGACGAATTCTCGATTACTTTTCCGAAGGGACGTATCAGCTTTTGTAAACAATGCATTTGATCTTCGATTTATCGTAACTGGTAACTCACCCACGCATTCTAACACCACTATCAGGTAGGGAAAAATGTCCCCTATCCGATGGTAGTGTAAGCATGCGTGGGTGAGCTACCAGTGACGCCAAATCGACGATCAAATGTATTGTTTACAAAAGCTGATACGTCCCTTCGAAAAAGTAATCGAGAATTGATGAATCTACGAGAAACTGCACCAGTCCATGCGACACCTAGGTTTGAAATCCAAAACCATAAAAGTGATGATGTACTAAAAAATATTCCATACGATTTGACAGCTAGCAAAACGTCATTATCATTTTCACATCATTTCCATCTGCTGGCCGACCGTAACGTAGATTCATCAATAGTGGCTGATGGTTCCCAAAACGATGACGAATGGTCATTTAACCGCACGATGGTTTGGAGGGGTTTGTCGATCGTGTGTGGCTGTGTTAGCCTTTCAGGCGTCCTCCCTCGTTGATGGAGATTGACACGGCCCAGGACGATACCGGAGTGATCGTGTCAAGAGAGGAATGCTCCTAAACGGTTAGGGGTTTCAACCCCGAGCTTGAAAACCTTCTTAACGAGCGGCTGGCCCAGAGGTTAGAAATGGTCCTTTGCGGTTAGACGTAGCAAACCGAGGTCTACTACGCCGTATCATGCTTCTGACCAGACAAAACGGCAACTTTCAGCTGAATTAACAGTATTATACAAAAGGTCCTGTGAGGGTAATAGGAGGTATTAGAGGTTGTAATATTCTAGTCATTAGTAGTGAGCTAGATTTAGTTAGATTTTAAGCGTAGGATAGGTAGAGGGGTGCGACACATCTAAATCTTGATTTTAAATGGTCGAAAAATCTCACACTAGCGAATCAATGTACGAAAAATCTTTTTTCATCTCTTGCATCTAAACCCATCTACTCGCATCGCTCTCCAACTTTTTGCAGGAAGTCTTCAAAATCATAATCAATCGTGTTTCTATCTATTAAGCGTGAGTGCATTTCACAACAGCAAAGCAAAAAAAAAATCCTGCATCTTAGATAGAGTCGCCCCCCTCGGGATAGGTCATTAGCGTACCCTCACCCTTTTTAGCTGGATACCACTCACTTAAAATTGTGGAGGACATTTTATAATTTGGCTCTAGTGTACACGAACGCCTGTAAATTTATGAGCAATGGCGCTCCTCCTTATTCTTTTCAACACCGTTGTAACTTTTGTTGTTGCTGCCTGTGAGGATGGGGTGGGGTGATGGGGGGTTGTTATCCCAAGTAACAATTTTGGTTTTATTAGGGTTCTTTAGACCATGGTTTAGACTTGTAGAACGCTATAAATCCTCTATAAAGCTTGCAATGTTACTTGGGATCACCACCTTTGTAGATTTTGGCCCACTTCGCCTGCTGGTCTACTCTATCCTTTAGTTTTTGTACCCCACTTGTTTTGTAAAAAATCCAAACATTTTTTAATAGACAATAGATACATGTTTACTAACATTTTACTGACCAACCAGCCCAGTTAAAGAACGTCCAGCTAGCGAACAAGTACTGCGAAACCGAACTTTTTGTCAGTACGAACCTCAACCTGAGCTAGGTTTTAAAAAACAAACGAGCAAACTGACGTTTGTCAGAAAACAAGCAGACCCAATCTTGATACCCGATCCAGGTTGGAACTGAATAATAAACGAATTCGCTATTAGTGTTTTGTTGACATTCGCGTCATGTTAAGAAGTTGGTTGTGTTGTTTGTTAACAGGAAAGTTAGTATTTATTTTAGTGAGAAATAAATTCCGCTCTGCTTCGTCTATACCTATAGGGGGTAAGTATTGTTTTCCACAACAAGAAAATACGAAATTCAACGGCTGGAAGGCGTTGGTATAATTTCCCATAAATTCTCTACCGGAAAGCCCAAGCAGCATGGTATCTTGTGCCACCTGAGGGCAGTATACGGATCATAATAAATTGCCTCTGTGGAAAGCGCTCCAAGCTCCAGGCACGGGAAAAATGTAGGTTATAACCTTAGCCCTCCTCTTGGACCAACCTTTGCCAGCTCGTAATCAGTAACTATAAATTTGTAAACGGTGGAATCCCCATCGGCGCGGGGAAGAATTCGCCGGGATCGGAGTTGCTTTATTATGC